CCCATTCAGATTTGTTCTAAAGGGCATCCTCTCGGTGGGCAGAGCATATAGCTCATCTCACTGTCCACTTTGTCTTGAAGAATTGATAACTTGAGGTAAGAGTTTACAGTGAGTGTCTGGCAGTGTCCGGTTGTATAGCAAGTGACTTGGGACAAGACCGCAGAATAGTTTTGGGAAAGAGGTACTTTTAATGCCCTGTTGGTCAGAAATGATGCTGTCATTTTGGAGCAAGACGTTTGGGGAAGAAGAAAGTAAAATGGTCCAGGTGCAGTGGCTCACACCCGAAATCCCAGCAATCTGAGAGGCTGAGGCAGGTGGATCACTTGAGGTCAGAAGTTCAAGACCAGCCTGGCCAATATGCTGAAACCTTGTCTCTACTAAAAAATACAAAAATTAGCTGGGCATGGTGCTGCATGCCTGTAATCCCAGTTACTCGAGAGGCTGAAGCATGAGAATAGCTTGAATTCAGGAGGCAGAGGTTGTAGTGAGCTGAAATCATGCCACTGCACTCCAGCCTGGGTGACAAAGTGAGAGTCTGTCTCAAAAAATAAATAAGTAAATGTTTCTAGAATTTCCATAGTTACAATAAGTTTGTCAGAAATGTTTTCAAAAGTTCCACTCTTGGCCGAGTGCAGTGACTCGCACCTGTAATCCCAGTACTTTGGGAGGCCGAGGCGGTCGGATCACTTGAGGTCAGGCGTTCCAGACCAGCCTGACCAACATGGCGAAATCCTACCTCTACTAAAAATACAAAAATTCGCTGGGCTTGGTGGCACATGCCAGTAATCCCAGCTACTCAGGAGGCTGAGGCAGGAGAAACATTTGAACCCAGAAAGCGGAGGTTGCAGAGATCACACCACTGTACTCCAGCCTGGGTGACAGGGCAAGACTCCATCTTCAAAAACAAGATATAAGGAATCCCTCATATGATTTTCTTTGAGTTGAATCAAACTCATATCTCATCAAGATCCCTTTTTGTAATTATTGCTTCATTAGAGAGACAGAAACAGGAAGTAGAGGAAATAGAGTTGAATATTTGAAAGTCAGGACATCCTCGGTGGGTAGGCTTCAGTGAAGTCAGCAATGGACAGATGTGACTACACTCTTGGGGCTATATCAAGCAGATTCACAAGAAACGGATGTTTCCAGAGTGCCCACGTACAGTTAGAAATATAACTACATACAGGACTGAAATGTTCAAATTGGCTGGCTTGCCAGTCACACAGAGAAGCTAAAATATAACCAGAAGATTGTGGTGAACCAGGGAAAAGAACAAAGACAATTAGCAGGTTTATCTAAAGGTATTAAGCTTGATCACCTGATGCATCCATCTATGGGAACATACCTGGCAATTATACTGAAATACCTGGGTCTGCTGGTCAGGGATGTCTGTCCCCCTGAGGTGTTTGTTTCAAGTTCATTACCAAAGTCAGGCTCCCTGAGCACTCCTTTCCCAGGCTTTAGTCTGACCATCTGCATTATTTTAATGTGCATTTTCTTTTAGGGTGAGTACAGCCCCAGAACACTGGCTCTAACCTATAATCCTTTCACTTTGGGAGGCCAAGTTAGGAGGATCACTTAAACCCAGGAGTTCAAGGCTGGCCTGGGCAACATAGTGAGACCCCATGTCTACAAAATACAAAAATAAAGAAGATTAGCTGGGTGTAGTGGCATGTGCCTGTAGTCCCAGCTACTCGGGAGGTGGAGGCACAAGAATCGCTTGAACCTGGGAGGTGGAGGTTGCAGTGAGATGAGATCGTGCCACCGCACTCCAGCCTGGGCAACAGAGTGAGACCCTGTCTCAAAAAACAACACAACAAAGAAGTGTGAGTACAACATAGTAGACGAGGGCCAAGCCTGAGCCAGAGATAGGTGAATACTGTCCTGTGAAAGTGTGACAACATCCACACACTCTGTCCCCCTGGTACTCCCCAATGCCTGAGACTCCCATTGTGAATAGTTACCTCCTCCATTGGCTCCTCTCACTGACAGTTATTGTGTCAACTGAAGTTGTGAATTATTTTGCCCTTAACCACATACCCATCACTATATTCAGTTGTGCTGCGAGTTCTCATCTGTTTATTACAAAACCAGCTCCTGTCTCCTTTTCTAGAGTCTCATGTTGCACGCATTTCTGCTGCCCCTTAGCGATGTCCCCTTAACCACCACTAAAGGAAACTCCCCGTCTTTATCCTGTGACAGCCTCCTCCTTGCTCTATAGTCTCTTATGCTGCCTGCTCTCAACTCCTCTCAGCCATATCCACCAGTTCCCTCTCCCTGCGGAACCTAGCCTTCTTCCATGGGTCTGGCATGGAGCTCAAGAATCTGCCCTGTAGCAAGCTCCCCATGGGCTGCTGGCACAAGCTGAAGGGAAGCCCTCTGTGAATCACCTTCAGTTCCCCAGTGACCTTCTTTGAACAGTGACATTGGCCAGATTCATCTGCTACCTCATCTGTTGCCACATCACCAACCTGCGGCTTAGCTACTTGCAATCTGGTGAGAAACAGAAGAAAGAGAACAGAGTTTGGAGAAAAGCATACCTAGACTGGAATCCTGCTTCTGCCATTTATTGTGTGACTCTGGGAATGGCTCTTTTAAAAATGCATTTCCTAATTCCAATCTAGTTCACAGGGTTGTTGTGAGGCTTAGAGGGAGAAAGATGCTTCCTTCAGTAAGTATGTGCTGAGCACCTCCTATGCACCAGGCACTGGGTACTGGGTACTGGTACAAATACCCATTCCTTGCTTCTTCCCTCTCCCTCCCCGTCTCATCGCCCTGAAACCTGGAGGTCACTATTTGAGTTCTCCCTTCTCTTGGCTGGGTTTGTATCTCATCCAGCTGCCTCCTGCCACTCTTAGATTCCTGAGAGGTGACACGGGGCACATTACTGATGAATTCCTTGTCTTGATTCCTGATCAAGGCTTCTATGTGTCCAGTCTCTGGGTGGGAAACCCAGTGTGCCAAGCTAGGCAATGTGGAAACCAGTGTGGACCCATTTCCCCCTTGCCGATGAGCTGACAGCCACAGTTAGCCATAAGGAGCCAGCTTGCTGTAGCCTGTTCCCCTGGCTGGATGGAACCCTTTAAAGCCTAAGGAGCCTCCCAGGTAGGAGGCTTGCATGGCCCATGTCTTGCCATCCTAAGGACCACTTCCTAAGGGAAGGAGAAAGAGAACGTATGGGGATGAAGATGAATTTTATAAGCCCTTCCCATTCTTCCCTGGGAAACAGGAAGAGACTTTGTTCTGTACGACCCTGCTGTGCATCTTCAATGCCCCCAATGCCAGGAAACGTCTTACTGAAAGAGGCGGCCACGAGTCAGTGAGGAAATGTGTCCGGTCACCAGGGACCTCCTAGCTCCATACACGTCAGCCCTGTCTGCTCCTTCCCCCACCTATTAGCAACATCTCACACTGTTGATTCCCCATAGCTTCCAGAAGAATCTTCCTCACTGAATAGAGGCCAAAGTCCTTAGGTACTCAAGGCCTTCTGGGACTGGGCCAAAGCCTGCCTTTCTTACTGCATCCCTCCCCATGTCCCTTCAGTTCGCATATGTTCCTATCAAATGTGCCATTTGCTTTTCTTTATAAATAGCCATGACTTCCCGACACCTGCCTTTGCTCATGTTCCATTCTGTCTCCATGCCTGGCTCCTTCCCTAACTCCCTCCCAGTCCACCCATGTGGAGCCTCTCTCCTAGGCTTCTGCCAGGACTCCATTTTTCTCTCTCTCTGAGGTATATCTTGCTGTCCTGACTTGCCTTCTCTACTGGGCTGTGAGTTTTCTGGACGGCAGGGACTTTTTATTCTCTCCTCACCGTGTCTTGCATGTCGTAGGCTCTCAATAGACACATGTGCCATAGTTTAGAACATGAGTGAGGCCTAACCGACCAGACGTCAGATACTAATGGGACTCAGACTTCAACTCGATTTTGTCTGCTACATGCATGTTGGTGTGTGGACGTCTGAGCTTCTCCATTATGTTCACTGAGAATTGCTGAACATCTTCTTCCTTGGACTGTCGTCATGAGACTGAGGTCAGCTGTCATCCTTGAGCCAGAAAAGTGAGGGTGAACTAGAGATCTGGAAGCTGAGGATTGGGGTTGAGTATCAAAGAGGAGTCCTGTGGCCAAGAAGAGTCCAGAAAGGGGAAAGCAGGCGCAGCCAGGGATCCTTAACTACAGAGCTGCCAAATGCTGAGGGGGCTCTGGTGAATGTAAAATGCAGCATGCATTATTGGGAAAGGGGTGATATCAGGGTCCAAAGCCCATACAAGGCAGCTGCTCTATAAGGCCTGAAGGTCAGGGTTTGGCTTAGGCGGGCGAGGGTAACATCTCTGGAGAGGTTGCATCTGGCCCTATTGAAGAGCTGGGCTCTTCCTACGCCAGTACCAATTTTCAGGTCTTCGGGACTCAGCATCTCACATGTTCTTTTTGTATTCTCTATTAGCCAGGTTTACAATTTCCTGGAGGCGTTTTTCTTTTCATATATTTAGTTTTTTGAGACAGGGTTTTACTTGGTTCCCCAGGCTGAAGTGCAGTGGTGCCACTATGGCTCACTGCAGCCTCAACCTCCCAGGCTCAAGTGATTCCCCTAACCTCAGCCTCCCTAACAGCTGGGACTACAGGCACCGTGCTTGGTTAATTTTTTTATTTTTAATATCTGAATTTTTTTGTAGAGACAGGGTCTCATTGTGTTGCCAGGCTGGTCTCGAACTCCTCGGCTCATGTAGTCCTCCCGACTCAGTCTCCCAAAGTGCTGGGATTACAGGCATGAGCTACCACACCTGGCCCTGGAGGCATTTTTCTCCCTCTCTTTTCATTTTGTTTAAACCATCCTTTGATCCTGTTGGCCAGACAGTTTCTGGGAAAGCCTGTTCCTTGGCTGTGGTGAGGTGCAGATGTCCTTAGCTCTGACCAGGAGCGCCAGATCTGACTTTTTGAGACCACCTATGTAACTAGCTCTTCATTTCCTAGCTCTTCTTTTGTCTTCCCTGTCATGCAGATCAGCAGGAAGAAGACACGAAAGAAAAATGGCATGGACCTTCATGTCCTTCAGAGTGACGGTGGGCTTGGGCCTTGCAATGAGAACAAGTATCACCCAGGATGGAGATCGGCCAGGGGCGGGGGTCATGGGTGGGCTACAGGTACCTCCTACCACTGACAACAAGGAGGCAGAATTTCCTTGGTCTAGACTAGAGTCTGGGTCATGGGCATGGCCGTGCTTGAGCTTCTGACCAGAAGCAGGTGGACATGGATTTGAGCTTCGTGTAAGAATGGAGACTCCCCTCCAGGGACCATAGGGGCTGGCAGCTGAAGAAGGTGACCTGGCCCCCGTCTAGAAGGTGAACACAGGGTAAACCCAAGCCCATGAAGTGGATGCAGCTGGGAAAATCTGCCTGGTGCTTTCAAACCTCAACATCAAACACTGCTCACACCTCAAACACTGCTCACACCATGGTAAAATCTAGTTGCAAAATCTGTCCTGCAGCAGTTTTCTTTCCAGACGCTCAGGCCTCTCCTGGCAGCAGGCAGCTCTCCCCACCCACCCCCTCCACTCGTGCCCCTCCTACAGCCCAAGGCAACTCCCAGCAACCTTTGTGAACCAAGCCCATCTTGCCGCCCAGGCTCCGGAGCTGTTTGCATGTTGTGCAGATGCAGCCTTCAGCCTTGGATACCCACCCACTCCTCTGCTTGGGAGTTGTTTTCACAGGCTGCTCTTCCTGTAGCTTCAGAGAAGTAGGTCAAGTAGGTTAAATTGCTTTGAAGGAGAAGTGCCAGGGGTTCAAGTCATCCAGCCTGGAGGCAGGAATCCTGGGTTCTATTTCTGGCTTCACAGCTAATCAGCTGTGTGACAGGCGTTAGGGGCTCATTCTCCCATCTGGGTCTCCCTGGGTCCTTCTCTAGGTCCCACAATTTTTTTATTTTCTTGAAGCTATATTCCCTGGGACTGTCTTCTTCCTCCCTCTTCCCTCCCTCTGGGAGGTGCTTTAAAGATGTTGGCTGCTCAAGGCTGGCATCCTGGGCAAGAGGGGCTGCAGTTGTTGTAGCCGATGAGGACTACAACAACTGCAGCTTTTGTGTAGACACGGTAGAGCTTATGGGGCCATGTGAGGCTGGAGTGTCAGGAAGTCAGACTCCTGTAACTACAGGACAGGCCCTGGTGATGTGATGACGGGGATGCTGAAGCCCAGAATTTGAGTTCGGGCTCCTGGGTTTTATGCAATGGCTGGAGATTCCCTCCCACTTCTAAGCCTCTCTTTCTGTGTCATGCAGGGAAATTCAGTCTCTGGTTCATATAGAAACTTGGGACCTCACTGTGCTGCTTGCTCATGGCAGAAGATATCATTTGAGCTGTCACAGCAGAGGACCAAGGTGCATTTTGGCCAAAGAATAATAACCTTTCTAAGGCTTAGTTCCTCTGGCCTGACCAAACCAGTCCTAGGAGGCCCCTGGGCTCCAGTCAAGGTCACAGGAGAGGCCCTACATGGATGAGGCCTGGGGGAGCAGGGTGGAAATTAAGTGCCCAGGTTGGTGTAGATAGCCTCAATCCCTCTCCAATCCCCACCCTCCAAACCCAGTCATGGGGGACGTGAAACAGGTGAGGCAGAGAAGCAAATGTAGGTCAAGGGCAGGAAGGAACGTGAAGCTTTAGGCTGCCGGGAACTCCGAACTGCACTCAACTCACAGCACAGCTGTGGATGTGCACATCACATGTGCGCCGCCAGACAGCATGGCGTGATGGAAAGGAAATGGGTTTTGGATGGCGTGTTCTGGGTTTGAATCTCTGCCTGCCCATGTACTAGAGAGTAGTCTAACCGCTCTGGGCCTCGGTTTCCCAGCTGGGAAATGGGAATAATAGTGCTTATCTTGCACGGTTGCTGAGAGTGTTCCATGAGATGAGACAACCCGAGTAAAGTAACTGGCATAGACCTATCACATTTGGGGCACTCAGTAAATGCGACGTCCTTTCTACTTGCCTTCCTGTCATACCTTTCACCATGTTTTGAATTTCTGCAGCTAAAGATAGGAACCCCAATTCTCACTTTGCCTCCTTTTTGTAATTCACCTACATGCCTGACTTCTGCTCAGTGCCTCTTCAGAGACTCACTATTCTGGAGAGTGGGAACCTAGAGTTCTGCCCTTCTGGTTTGTTTTGTTTTGTTTTTTTTGCTTTGTTTTTTTGAGGTGGAGTTTGGCTCTTGTTGCCCAGGCTGTAGTGCAGTGGTGTGATCTCGGCTCACCACAACCTCTGTCTCCTGGGTTGAAGCGATTTTCCTAACTCGGCTTTCTGAGTAGCTGAGATTACAGACGTGCACCACCACACCCAGCTAGTTTTTCGTATTTTTAATAAAACAGGGTTTCTCCATGTTGGTCAGGCTGGTCTCAAACTCATGACCTCAGGTGATCCACCCACCTCGTCCTCCCAAAGTGCTGGGAAATCCAGGCCTGAGCCACTGTACTGTTTTAAACTGTGAGCCGAAAAACCATATCTCAGATTCCTCTTATGCATAATGCCACCCACTGTGGTCAACTTCTATGGCACCGTTTCCTGCACATATTTTGTCTAAATACCTTGACTGCACCTCAGAGAAGCTGGGTATGGGCCGATTCCTTCACCATTGAACACATAGAGCCCAGAGAACAATGTTGGCTGCTGAGCCCCGGGGGGAGAACAGAGATCAGAGCCTCTTTTCATGGTTCTCACAGGCCATATGAGAGACAGATGGGAGAAACTGGCTTCTGCAGGGCCAAAGGCCTCTGGCCAAGGCACCCATACCAAAGGGGACAGATTGGCCAAAGCGGCATTATCCCTGTCTCCTTAGGAACCATTCCAGTGGGATCTGTTTGGGAGTACAGGTTGGAAGTATGGCTGGGGAGACCTACTCTAGGCCCGGTTCAGTCATGAGGATTCAGGAACACCTCCAATAGCTGATGCTAACTACGGTTGCCAGATAAAACATAGGTGGGATTTGAGTTTCAGAAAACAAACAAAAAATGTTTTTAGTATGTCTCACATGCCGCCTGGGGCATACATTACAAATCACTCCATTTATATTTGAAACTCAAATTACATTGGACATCTTGTCTTTTTTTTTTTGAGACAGAGTCTCACATTGTTGCTCAGGCTGGAGCGCATTGGCGCCGTCTTGGCTCACTGCAACCTCTACCTTCTGGGTTCAAGCAATTCTCCTGCCTCAGCCTCCCAAGTAGCTGGGATTACAGGTATGTGCTGCTACGCCCAGCTAATTTTTGTATTTTTAGTAGAGACAGGGTTTTGCCAATCCTGGAGCTGTCAGGAAGGCTTTTGGGTTGGGTGCTTGTATGGGACAATCCTCTATAACAGCGTTTTCCCTCTACCCTCACACACAACAATCAACGCAGAGGAGTTGTGACCAAATTAGTGTGTGTGGGGGTGTTTCCCTATGCAGCAACCAGCTGGGTGTCCTCTAATGCAGTTCTGACACTGAAAGATGGTGTCAGATCCCACAGGTTGAAGGCTTAGTCCCCAAGACTGCCCCCAACAACACCCAGTTGTAAGTCTGGACCTCCAAAACTTCTGACCGATGGTTCCAAGCTGGGATTCCCATGACCCCCTCTTTGGGTTCAGTTCATTTGCTGAAGTGGTTCAGAGGGACTAAAATTTTTAAAGGTCAGAGATGGTAGAGGAAAGAGTATGGGAAGTGTGGTGTCCAAGCCTGTCTGCGGAAGCACAGTTGAGGAGGGAACAGGAGGTGGAAGTCAGGTGGGAAAGAAATCTGGGGCCCTATTGGGAGGACCTTGAGTGCTGTGCTGTTATGATAGACATTAGTTTTCCTCCACGATTCCTGCCTCATAACTCCCACAGCCCTTGTTATAGTCTTTTGTAATAATATTGCGTGTTAGGCCACAGGAAACAGAATCTCTACTCCTTCTCCGGCTGTCCTTTCACCTGCCCCAAGGCAGGACTCTAATCTTTCCTGAACTTTCCCATGGTCATTCTTGAGATCCTCCCCAGAGGGGTTCCCACCCTTTACCCCGGGGGAAGGAATGCTGACGTTATGAGGCTTTCATAAAAACCCAAGAGGAGCTTGGATACCTGAATACGTGGAGGTTCCTGGAGGGTGGCACCCCTTGGAGGGTGTGGAAACTCTCCACCCCTTCCCCGTATCTGAATGGTGTTTTCTTTCTCCCCTTCATGAAACTCTTCCCTGTTCCTTGTATGATAATTTTTATATGTCTCCTAGTTCCTAAGTATCTTCCACAGTGTCTAGCACATCATAGCGAGTGATCGGTAAATAGCTGATAGAACGAATTAAACTATCTGCCTTGTGAATTATCTAAATAGAGGTCTGTGCTTCTCATGAAAAATTGACCATGTTTTTTCTTGTCAAGTAATTTTTTCTTTTTTTGGAGATAGAGTCTCACTCTGTTGCCCAGGCTGGAGTGCAGAGAGGCAATCTAAGCTCTCTGCAACTTCCGTCTCCCCGCCTCAAGTGATTCCCCTGCCTCAGCCTCCCAAATAGCTGGGATTACAGGCATGCGCCACCACGCCCGGCTAATTTTTGTATTTTTAGTAGAGATGGGGTTTTACCATGTTGGCCAGGTTGGTCTAGAACTCCTGACCTCAGGTGATCTGCTCACTTTGGCCTCCCAAAATGCTGGGATTAGAGGTGTAAGTCATGATACTCGGCATCAAATAATGTTTTTATCAGTATTCATCTGGAATTCCCGGCTAGACTTTTCATTCTTTGAAGACACTACATTTCCTTCAGTATTGCAGATACCAATGTTTCATGAGTATATATTGTATTGAGTGGAATTGTGGGAAGGGAGTGTCTCTGGGAGACCATATCAAGCTAGAGTCCAGATTCTCCTTTCTGCTCTGGTTCAGATATGACTCTCAGTCAATCTCTTTTTTTTGTTTTTTTTTTGAGATGGAGTCTTGCTCTGTCACCAGGCTGGAGTGCAGTGGTGCAATCTTGGCTCACTGCAACCTCCGCCTCCTGGGTTCAAGCGATTCTTCTGCCTCAGCCGCCTGAGTAGCTGGGACCACAGACGCACACCACCATGCCAGGCTAATTTTTTTGTACTTTGAGTAGAGACAGGGTTCCACCATTACCAGGATGGTCTTGATCTCTTGACCTCATGATCCGCCCGCCTCGGCCTCCCAAAGTGCTGGGATTACAGGTGTGAGCCACCGTGCCCGGCCTCTCTCAGTCAATCTCAAAGCCACCTGGCCTGGTCCTGGAACTGAAGAACAGAGACAGAGCTTATTTGTAAGATGCAGGGTGTGTGTGTCCGGGGTCGGGGGTCTAGATTAAATGTGTGTTCCAGGAACCATCCCAGAGTTTCCCTTGGGGCTGGCATGCTGCTAAGAGAGTCAAAGAAGGTCAAGGGACAAGAAGAAAAACTGGAAACAGCAAGAGAATGGGGTAGGGGCTGGAGGTGGGGGCCGAGGCTAGAGAGAAATAGAAAACATGAGTTTCGGATGCAGCAATGAGAGCACTGCTTTAAAATTCTGGCAACCTGGATTCTTTCTCTGGCTCTGTCCATGCCTTGAGCCATGAAGGAAGGAAAAAATACATATGCATGTCTACTGTGTCACTTCACGTAGATTTTATTACAGTTTCCCAACAGTCCTGCAGGACGCTGGGAGGGTAATTACTGGCCTACAGACACATAGCCCAGCCTACCAACACAAATTTACCTCTCAACGTTAAACGAAGTAAAATGAAGTTAGGTTCAATTTTTAAGTATCTTTAAGTTCGTTTCCTCTCTGATTTCTACCAGCAGAGCATTTCTACTAGTAACAAAACAAAACAAAACACCCAAACAACTCTCAACCATGGGGCAAGAGAAACTAAGGAATCGATATTGAAAGGCCAGGGGGACCAGGAGAGGTGGTTCAGTCCCAGGCCTGTAATCCCAGCACTTCGGGAGGCAAAGGTGGGCAGGCGACCTGAGGTCAGGAGTTCCAGACCAGTCTGGCCAACATGGTGAAACCCCGTATCTACCGAAAAATACAAAAAGTAGCCAAGCGTGGTGGCATGCGCCTGTAGTCCCAGCTACTCAAGAGGCTGAGGTGGAAGAATCGCTTGAACCCGGGAGGTGGAGGTTGCAGGAGCCGAGATCGCCCCACCTCACTCCAGCTTGGGCAACAGAGACCCTGTGTCAAAACAAAACAAAACAAAACAAAACAAAACAAAACAAAACAAACAAACCAAAACAATGGCAGGGGAACGCGTGCAGCGTAGAGAAGCCCGGATGGGAAGACCAGGGAAGTCCTGAGCTAGCTTGGGAGAGATCTTCAGGAGTGGGGCGTAGGCATGAGTCCCTGCCTCTCTGTGCCTGTTCCTCACAGAGTCAAGGCAGGTGGAGAGCTGGAGTTCGAGTCGGCCCTGGGACTCAGCAGGAAAGGATCCTGGTGGCAAAGCTTGCGAATTACACATACAAATCTGGGAGAGGAAAAGCAAGCGGACTTCCTGCAGCCCTTGGGGGTTGGGAGTGGGGTGCGTTTCCTGCGTCCCTGACCCGGGAAGGACGCTGTTTGGTAGCAAGCACCTAGCCAGAGAGTAGCTGGTAGGGCGCAGCTAAGGGCTAGAGGACTTCATCTGAGAACCCGGCTTAGCTAAGGTAGCCAGGGGAGGGTGAAGGGTTATTTCCCAATTCCCATCCTTGCGCCCCCTGGCTTAGCCCACGCAGCCTGGACAGAACTGGGGGAGGGGTGCACCTGCAGCTCCCCGCGGCCCGGCTGACCTCGAGGACCCCAGGTTAGGGAGAGCTTCCAAGCGCTCCGACAGGAGCAGTGAATTCGGATGGGTGACTCCTCAGGTGCACGCCCCAGCCCGTAGGGCGACAGCCTCTGAAAAGGCGCATCTCCGGCTGTGGGTTTCTCGGGGGGCGCAGGGGCGGAGCGGGGCGGGGCGAGGGGCTCGCAGCAGCCGCGGGTTGGCTGAGCCTGGAGGGAGGGAGTCCTCATTAGCATATCTCCGCCCTCTCCTCCCCCCCCCTGCGCTTTGCCGGGCCCAGCCACCAGAGCGGAGGCGGCCGCGGCCAGCCTGGTACTGAATGGACTGGAGGCGCCCAGCTCTGTCCCGCCCGCGGCCGGCCCCCGCGTCTGCTCCCTCCCCGCTCCGGCCCTTGCCGGCCGCCGCCAGCGCCCTTCCAGGCTGTGAATGAAAGGCGGGCGCCGCCGAGGGCTGGCTGGGAACGCCGCGGCGACGCCGGCCTCCCAGGAGGCGCGCGCCCCGCCGAGATGTACGGTAAGGAGGGCTCCGCGCCCCGGCCCGGCCCCCGGGGGCGACTCCGCAAACTTCCCGGGCGCGGACCACTGTCCCCCAGCGCGGCCCCGGCGCGGGTCCAGGCCGCGGACCTGGTGCCCGCCGGGGCTGTTGCGGTTGCTCTGTGCGCGCGCGTCTGTGCTGCGAGGACAAAGATGCCTCGGGCC